TATTGGAGGCCTGCTTCACCCTGCCCCCTCCCGCCCCCCGCGAAGTCGGGGTTCTGCCAAAACAGGATCAGCTATGGCTGGATCCACCCTCTCTCCTAGATCTCTTTGACCCAGGAATTTAAGGGGAGGGGCGGGAGGGCTCAGCTGTCTTAGGAGGCTCCTGCGAGAGAACAGGTGCAGACTGTTTGGGAAAGGACTTCCAGGTCTCCCCACTCAGCACCTATCCTCCAAGGCTGCCATCAGCTTCTAGCATGAGCCATTGTCTGCTGCTCACACATCCCAATGCTCAGCCACACCTAAAGGAGTACCCCAAGGGGGCTGCACATCAGGATCGACCCAGGTTGCCTCCTAGTCACCAGGAAACTGACCCCCAGTCAGTGTTAGGCCGTTCCAGGACCATTCACTCATAAGCAATAGAACTGGGCCTATCAAGTACTGTACTGTCAGTGAACTTTGCCTGGTGATAGATGAAGGTGCACAGCGGATGGGATGTGCAAGTCACGTGGGTGGGGTTTGAGTACAGGAGTGTCTGTGATACCGAAGCGACTTCCCTCCTCTCTTCGTCCTTTAGCACTGGGTGTTTTTCAAGGGTACATTTGGGAGTGCCTTCCCCAGAGTGCCCACTCTCAGCCTGGTCCCTGGTGTCCAAAGAGGGGAGCCATCACCTCTCTTCCCCAGTGGAAGAGAGACATCATAGCCCATTGAGTCACACTTCAGTAGCCTTCTGCCTCTCTTGGCCACTGTGGAGACAAGGCTATCCTTTGTGTCAGTGTTGAAATTGTCCCTGTATAAGCCAGGATGATTCAAATGACTGTGTGGTGTATTTGTGATTTTTTTTTAAGACAGGGATGGCCTGGCCTCTCGTTGGCCTGGGTGTACACAGCTCCTGTTCTGTGTTGTCTGAGGTTTGACCTCTCGACAGCTATGGCAGAAATGTGTTCCAGTAGTAGACTTCTGAAGGACTCTGACCCTGGGATCAGGCTGCATGGCAGAGAATACGGCTGATAGGCAGGTTCAAGTGTGAACCACATCATTGCACGTGTGTGTATGTTTTGGGAGATGAGGCAATGGTCCAATTACTTAGGAAATGCTGTACCATTGTTTTTTAAGGGGTGGGGGATGGGTAGGGGGACAGGGTCTCATGTAGCTCTTGGCAGCCTCAAACTTACTATGTATCCAAGGCCAGCCTTGAACTTCTGAACCTCCTGCTTCTCCCTGCTTCTCCCTTGTAAAAGTGAGCTTCACCTGGTTTCTGTGATGCTAGGAATCAAACCCAGGACTTCGTGCACACTAGGCAAATGATCCACCAAAAGAACTATGCTCCAGCACTTGAGACTTATTTTAAGCCAGGGGTTCTCAACCTGTGGAGAGGAGGGGAGGAGTTTCAAACAACCCTTTCACAGGGGTCACCTAAGATCATTGGAGAACACAGATACTTATATTATGATTCATAACAGTAGCAACATTACAGTTACGAAGTAAAAACGAAAATAATTTTATGGCTGGGGGTCACCACAGCCTGAGGAACTGTGTTAAAGGGTTGCAGCATTAGGAAGGTTGAGAACCACTGCTTTAAGCTAGTATTTCTGAACCCAGTATTTTTAGTTGAGATTCTCTGTGCTTCCTTGCTAGGAATGTCTGAGAAAGTTAAACCTAGAGTTCCCCATGACTCAGCAGTTCTTCCATAGTCATAGGCTAAACTTCCAAACATGGCTGTGTAAAACCTGGAGCACAGATGTCCATCCATGGCTGCGCTGTTCACAACAGCCAGGAAGTGAAGGCTAAGATGTTGAATCACCCATGAGAATGTGGTGCAGTCATATGATAATGTTATTTGGCCATGTGAAGGAGAAACAGACACCATACAAGCCAGGGAAAGGAACCAGATACAAGAGGTTATGTGTTGTACGGTCTGTTTGCACTAAACGTCTAGGGTAGGCAGTCCGTGGAGACAGGTATGTTAGTTGCCAAAGGATTCTCTAAGACAGGGGTCTCTGGTACACATTCTAGACTGACCTCGAACTCTATCCGTCCACCTCTGTGCCCCCTGAGTGCTGGATTTACATCTGATGGTATCACACCGTAATGAAACTTTTCTGGATTGATAGTTGTGGTGGTTGTTCAATCTGGAAAGTGAAATAAAATCTGCCAATTTTCACTTTAGATGGTAACTCTTATATGCAAATTATATTTGATTAAAAATCATATAATCATAGACCTATCCCACTATTTCCTTTTTGAGATAGAGTCTTACTCTATAGCCCTAAAATTCACTATTTGGTTAAGGCTGGCCTTGAACTTATGTTGATCTGGGATCATAGGTGTGATATACCATCACAGCTAGCTTCCTTGTACAGCTTGTGCGCGCGTATGCATGTGTACGAAGTTTACATCGGGCACCCTTTCTTGATAAGCACCCACCTATTTTCTTTTTTTTTGTGGCAGGGTCTCACTTTGTAGCCCTACCTAGCCTAGAATTCTCTATGTAGACCAGACTGGCCTTGAACTTACAGAGATCTGCCTACCTCTACCTATGCCTCCAGAGTGCTGGGATTTAAGACCCGAGCCATTTCTGGTCCCTCTTTTTTTTTTTTTTTTTTTTCCTTTGAGACAATGTCTCTCCAAATCAGAAGCTCATTGATTTGCCTAGGCCTGCTGGCCAGTCACCTTCAGGGATCTGTTTGTCTCTGCTTATGGGGTGCCGGAGTTGCAGGTCTGAACCACCAGCTCTTTTTTTTTTTTTTTTTTTTTTTTTTTTTTTTTTTTAAATATTTATTTATTATGTATACAATATTCTGTCTGTGTGTATGTCTGCAGGCCAGAAGAGGGCACCAGACCTCATTACAGATGGTTGTGAGCCACCATGTGGTTGCTGGGAATTGAACTCAGGACCTTTGGAAGAGCAGGCAGTGCTCTTAACCACTGAGCCATCTCTCCAGCCCGAACCACCAGCTCTTAAGTGAGTCTTTGGCATACACACTCAGAAGCCACGCTTGCCTGGCAGACACTTTACACTTTCCTGAGACATCTCCAATCTCCACAGCCCTGTCTCGCTGTTGAAGGTTAATTATTTTTGCCCAAACAACACACGCTTTAGCAATGTGTAGCATGTTTAGAATGTTTAGCAATTTAAGCAACCGAAAGCTAAGAAAGTAGAAACCTCTTCTTAGCCTAGTGTTATGGCTCAGGGAACTATGTCATGGTTCAGGGAACAACGGGGTCAGATCTGATAAAGGTGGAGCATCCTCCAGTGGCTAAGCTTTTGTTTTCCAAAATAGGATGAAAACCCCACACATATGAAACGCAAAGTGACAGGGAACGCCAAGCTTGCAACAATCACAAAAGTGTGCATGCATACACCAAAGTGCTGTGTCTTATTGCTCGCAAAGTGGGTGAAGATCTACAGGTGATGATCCTGTTGCCTGACTTGCCCATGGACAAGCCTTTCATGGAAAAATTCTATTCACTCTTGTTGTTGTTGATTTGTTGTTGTTGTTTTGTTTTTCAAGTTAGCGTTTCTCTGTAGCTTTGGAGCCTATCCTGAAACTACCTCTTGTAGAACTCACAGAGATCTGCCTGCTTCTGCCTCCCAAGTACTGGAATTAAAGGCGTTCGCCGCCACCACCCAGCTTCACTCTTTAAAAACCAATAGGTTAAGCCGGGCAGTGGTGGCGCACGCCTTTAATCCCAGCACTCGGGAGGCAGAGGCAGGCGGATCTCTGTGAGTTCGAGGCCAGCCTGGTCTAAAAGAGCTAGTTCCAGGACAGGAACCAAAAGCTACGGAGAAACCCTGTCTCGAAAAATCAATCAATCAATCAATCAATCAATAAATAAAAACCAATAGGCTATATGGGTGTGTGGGAGCCTCTTCTAGAGTCTCCCACCAATGGAGGTTTCTGTGGGCTGGTCTGGCTACCATATTGAGCACATTCATATCATAACGATCATTCATTCCAGGCATGTATTTGGAGCAATCGCAGGGTCTGTAGCTGGAAGTGGAGGACTGCAGCCTGGGCCTTTGGTTTTAGGTGGCTGGCCAAGTAGGTTATGGCCCAGTGAAGAGGAACCTTGCTCTACCCCCACCCCCTACCCACTCCGGGGAGGGGCAGGCAAGAATGGACAGAGAAGAGCCAAGGACAATTAGTGTGTCCAAGTATTGGGAAAGGAGCTGGAATGTTCAAGAGAGTTGCTGGCCTTCAGTCCCCCAAGTGAGGGTGGCAGAGGTCAGTGGAGGAGAGAGAAGGAAGATTCCAGAGAGAGCAGCAGGAAGTGAGAAACGGCCTCTTTTTTTCTTGCCGTTCTTGATCCTCAAGGCCAGAGCAGCAATTTGGCTTTACTGGGGGCTGACTTGGTTGAGCGTAGCCAAAGTCTGCCTTTTGCGGAAGCAGCTAGGTGATCATGGAGGAGCTGAGGCATCTTGGACTTTTGGCCAGCTCAGTAAGGCCCTGGCACTCACCCCTCTGGGGGATGGCATTCTCAGGAGAGGCAAGGGCAGCTTTGTTGGCTCATCTGGCATGATGGGATCTTAGTGACATCTGTGCTGGCCTGTCACCTGCTCTCCCCACATTTCTGCTACATGTGCCTTGAACTCTTACTCACTGACTCAGCCCACACAGAAGGGGGCAAGTGGAACATAGCCTGCTGGGGTCCACCTTATGACCTTCCCTGTTTCTAGCCCCTGCTAATCCACTGGTGTCCATTCCTGCCTCCGACTGGGTATCTGTGTCTTCCTGGGGCTTGGTTCCCTGGGATATCCATCTTCTATTCAGTTGGCATAGTTATCCTGCTGAATACTCAGAATTAGCTGGGGGCATCCCTCTGAGGAGTTAGAGGAGGAGAGGGAGTATTGCCTCCTGGGCCTCTCTGGCTGCTTTTATGTAGCTTTTCTGTCTTTAGTGTCTCCCTAGACGTCCCTTCTTCTGACCTGGCCTGGGCAGAAGGAGTAAGATGTCCTTTGATCTGAGACAGTACCACCCAGCAACCCTTCTCCTGCTGTCTAGATCTTGGCTGGAGAGACTTGGCCCTCACATGGATGGGTGGTTCTCTTCACACTGGCAAGCCTCAAGATCACATGTTCGTCTCTGCGGTTCATTTGGGCTGGAGGCATAGGGTCAGACTCCAGGATCCTGCCAGTGATCCTGATAGCCTCCTGCAGGTGCCAGGTGAGTCCTGGTACCTTCCAGCTGCTTCTGTCTGGACTCAGCAGTTCTGTGTCTAGTGACCTAGATGGGCTCTTTCCGCCTTAGATACCTCAACAACCAGCTCTGGGCCAAAGGTTGTAGAATGTTAGCTCCTGAGGCTCAACCAAGGTTTGCTCTCAGTGTGCTGGGAACTGGGTAGCCTGCCCCAGTCCAAGCAGTGGGCCTCAAGCTTAGGCTATGCCCACTGCAGGCACGCTCCTCAGATGATCGATCTCTTGCTTCTCCTCTCAGCCTCGTCAGGGCCTTGCTCTCCCTTCCTAGCACAGGGTCTTCCAGATAGCTGGTGCTTTCCCTCCCCCACCCCCACCCCCTTCCTCACTGCGGACAGTCATTGAGATTTTTCCCCCCAGGCAGGTCTCTTCCGGTCACCACCACTGTGTCTTGGGTCATACCTCCTAGATGTCCCCAGGGTGAGGGGTGTTGCTGCTTTGGAGTGACCTATCCCATGGTAGGCTGACTCCTCCCCTGTGATCTCAGTCTGTTCCTGGTGTTGCTACAGACTGCTGCAGACTGGAGAGCTTATACGGAGCAGAAATTTGTTGGCTCATGGCTCTGAAGGCTGAAAAGTTCAAAGTCAAGGAGCCAACCTCTGCTGCACCCTCCCATGGGGAAGACAAGAAAGAGCAAGTACTTGAAACCTCAGTGCCCCACTTTTTTTTTTTTTTTGGTTTTTCGAGACAGGGTTTCTCTGTAGCTTTGGTGCCTGTCCCGGAACTAGCTTTTGTGGACCAGGCTGGCCTCGAACTCCCAGAGATCCGCCTGCCTCTGCCTCCCGAGTGCTGGGATTAAAGGCGTGTGCCACCACCGCCTGGCAGGGCCCCACTTCTTAAAGTTAAATTTTTATGTACTTGTGTGTGTGGTGTGTGTGCGCACGCGCACGTATGTGTCTTTGCTTGACTAGCCAGATTGGTTAGCTCTGGGTTCAACTGAGAGACCCTGTCTCAGAGAATAAGGAGGAGAGCAGAGTGATCGAGGAAGACTCCTGATGTCAGCCCGTCTCTTGCCATGGACACCCTGTTCTCTCATTCCCCTGAATCTGATGTAGTCTCTTCTCCCAGCCCAACAGCACCCAGTTCGAGATGGGGTCCCAGGTCTCGGTGGATACGGGAGCTGTGCACGTAGTCATCGTGGGCGGGGGCTTTGGAGGCATAGCGGCCGCCAGCCAGCTGCAGGCACAGAACATCCCCTTCATGCTGGTGGACATGAAGGACTCCTTCCACCACAATGTGGCAGCCCTCCGGGCCTCAGTGGAGAGCGGTGAGTTGCTCTTTTGAGAGCTCAGTCTTGTCACTGTTATGGGGTACGTCGGAGCTGGGGGCATTTTCTCCATTTGGGGCAAGTTGCTCCAGGCCTTAGATTCATTCTTAAACTCAAACCTCTGGTCTTAAGCATCTTCCATAAAGAAGTGCCAGTTCTTTACAGAACTTCTTTATCAGAGCTTAGGGTCTTCTGAGGACCAGACGGGAACTTCAGGGCAGAGTGGACATCTGGGTATACCCACTGGCCTGGCTGTGGCCAAGAGCACCCCTGTGGGTATGTGACTTGGGAACGTTTCAACCCCATTTGACCCTGTGACGTCTTCTGTGTCCGTTCCCAGGCTTTGCCAAAAAGACATTCATTTCTTACTCAGTGACCTTCAGGGACAACTTCCGACAGGGCAAAGTGATTGGCATAGACCTGAAGAACCATACCGTGTTGCTACAGGGCGGTGAGGTGAGTGTGTGGGTGCCCGGTGGGAGTAGCCCCCCTCAAGGCCAAGAGGAACCATCTGTGGGCTCCAGGTCCCACTTTCCACTTCACAGGACATTCTTGGTGACAAAGGCTCGGTCACAGCAGACGCAAGCAGAGGGTGGCTGGGGTTGCCCGAGCCTTTTCTACATGCTGGGCACTGTCCTGAGCCTTTACATAAGTGTCATTCTCCCCCTTTTGGCATGATAGATGGAGGAGTCTAAAATATCCAAGAGAGGAATCGGGGATGTGGCTCAGTTGGTAGAATTCCTGCCTAGTGTGCATGAAGCCCTGGGTTTGCTCCTCAGCACTGAGCGCTGTAGGCGTAAATAAGGAAGTCCACGAGAACCTGGGGAAAAGAATAACACATGTTTACTTGGGGAACACTCACACAATAAAAGTAGAGAGTCTCCCCTGTCCTCTGCTCTGTGGGCCCTGAGAGCTGCAAACGGAACTCCGACCACAAGCCAAGAGAGCGAGAGAGCCCACTCCTAGCTCTTAAAAGCGATCATGTACTCAGACAAAAGACCACACCTCTAAGTCCGGTACCCCCAAAGGCTGAATGAATTCCCACTCCAGAGCACGGTGGTACGTGCCACATAATCCCAGTTACATTGGAGCTGGAAGCAGGAGGTTAGAAGTTCAAGGTCATCCACGGCTACAGAACTGGGCTACACGAGACCCAGTCTCAAAAACAAAAGTCCAGAAGATTCCAAACCATCTCCACAATGGAGGTGTGACTCTTGCTTACTGCTCCCCCCTTCCCCAGGCAGTCTCCTGCTCCTGGCCCCTATGCTGGTTAGCTCTACACCCCATGCTCTCCTGCGTCCTTAGGAGATCTTTGCTCCTGTACCTTATATGCTTTCCATTAATAGGGTGTTTTCTCTTCCTCCTTGGGCCCTTGGCTGTCCAGAGCTCTGAACATGAGGAGAGGTGGAACAGGGTGTTGCCTCATAATCCCAACCCAAGAAGCCTCTTTTCTGCAACGCTCCATGATCCCTGGTGTCCAGCTGTTGGAGGCAGAGGCCCAGCCCTTCCGGCCCGACTTACTTAACTCATGCATCTTTTTCTTATCCTCTCTAGGCCTTGCCCTTCTCCCATCTCATCCTGGCCACAGGCAGCACTGGACCCTTCCCTGGCAAGTTTAATGAGGTGTCCTGCCAGGAAGCAGCCATCCAGGCCTACGAGAACATGGTGAAGCAGGTGCACCACACTGACGGATGTGGGGCAGTGTGGGCAGGCCGGAGCGCTGTGGCTCTGGAGCAGGGGGACTATCTGGGAGGACCTCATGGCTGCCAAAACAGCCTGCGAGCAGCGGAGAGCTGTTAGAGAGACATTTTCCTGGAGGAGGCCTCAGACCTGCTCGTCCCTCTTGTCGCCTCTTTATATACACACACGCTGCCCCTTCCACCTGCTTTGTGGTACAATGCTCCGTGCTCCCACTTCCCCCAGGGATCTGTGAAGGGAGGAGGAGACCCATCTGGAGCCCAAATAGGGACGGAGCTCTGCCCTTCTTTAGCCAGGGCCTCCCTCCCCCTCCATAGGCTGAGCCACCATGCAGGCATGTGGGCATGCTTCATGGTCCCTTCTTCTTCTTCTTCTTCAGATCCAGCTCTCAGAGTTCATCGTGGTGGTGGGAGGTGGCTCTGCAGGAGTGGAGATGGCAGCAGAGATAAAAACGGAATACCCCAAGAAGGAGGTGAGGTGGCCTTCTTGGCTATCTTTTTTTTTTTGAAAATTTATAAGAACATTAAATAAATATTTATTTATATGTACATATATAATGTATTTATATAAATTTATATTTATATATAAGCATATATATAAATTTATATACAATGTATGTATATATATACACATATATAATATCTTTGTGTGTGTACATGCACAAGTGCCACGGTGTGAGTCGGAGGATATCCTGTGGATATCTCTCCTTCCACCCTGTCTCCCCTGGGATTTGAACCCATATCATCATGCCTGGGGACAAGCACCTTTACCTTTACCCATCTCCCACTCCAGCAACACCAGGACTTTGCTCAGGTCCTGGGAGGCTGGAGCCCCACATGCATGAACAGAGTGTTTTCCATCTTGTACTAAAGCAATTCCACAAGCAGTCACTCTACATAGCGAGAAGAGCCTCCTGCTTCGGCTCCTGGCTGTACAGATCTCTGAACGTGGGGAGAGGAGGGCCAGCGAGTTGTCTCATAAACCCAAACCGCCCATGTCTCTCCTTCCAAGTGAGAGCCTTTGGGATGAGGCCTGGATGTTCTCTTTTTGCTGTGAAGTTTCTTGGTATGTTTGATTGGCAGCCCTTGCCCTGGACAGCCACATGGTGGTCATGTAGGTCAGCCTTAGCTCAAGTGAGTGAGCTTCTTCGAGCCACAAAGAGCCTGTGAACAGCACTCCTCTCCCTGGGGAGAGATGGTCGGCTTCCACAAGGAAAATCAATCTGGCATAATTTAATTATATGCTTACTCTCTGACAAATGGCTGGAAATTATGGTGACTGATGGATGTAGTTAAAGCATTCATTTTGATTCATGCGTGTTGCATAGAAAGCCCACCCTCCCTCGCTTGTTCTCAGTGCTTCTGTGATGAGCAGAGTGGGTCTCTTCCAATACCGACTGATCTTACTAGCACTAGTAGGGTGTCCCGTGAAACAGTTCAACTCCAGAGCTGCCTGGAATTGGCACATACACCATAGGCCAAGGGCTCTCTGCCCCATCCGGCTGCTCCCACCTCCGATGACAGTGGAGTTGTAGGTCCCTGGTTAAATAACACTTCTGACCCAGCTATAAGTGGAAAGTTCTTTCCATTGGGTTTTATAGCAGCTAGAGTGTCATATAGACCCCAGAGATACAGCTTGCTTACCACTGCTAGCTTACCACAAAAGAGGTTTTAAAGGACACAGATGGGGCTGGAGAGATGACTTGATGGTTAAGAGTTCATACTGCTCTTGCAGGGGGCCCAGGTTTGGTTCTTAGCACCCACATGTGGGGCTCACCCCACCTGTATTTCCAGCTCCAGGGGATCTAGTGCCCTCTCCTGGACTCGATAGGCACTGCACTCATGTGTGCATATCCACATACAGACGTGTAACTAAAACTAATAAAATAAGCCTTTAAAGGACATATATGAACAGCCAGATAAAGAGATCCCAAACACAGGGGCCTCTTTCTCCCTGGAGTTGGGGCATGCCACCTTCATTCATGAGGAGGCTCTCCAAGTCCTGCAGAGGGATTTGAAGGCTTCTCCATTGGAATGATGAACTGCGGAACTCCACCTCCAGCTCCCTGGGCTTCCTGGGAGATTGGGGCAGGGACTGGAAGCTCCTACTGTGATTTGATTCTGGTGGCATTGTCCCATCAGATTGAATGATGCTCCTGTCAAGCAAGAAATTCCAAGGCATCCAGTAGTTTGTCACTCAGAGAATTACAAGGGTCACAGAAGCTCTGGGTTAGGAATTAGGGCCAAATATCAGAACAAATGGTTCTTCCAGCACTACAAGGCTTCAGAGCTCTGTGTCAGCAACCAGGAACAGACCAGAATTCTTGTCATGTCACGGGGATAAAGACGGTCTGAAGTAGTATGTTTCAACTGACTCAGGGTAGGATCTATGTTGTATTAGTAGGCATGTAGGAGCACGTGTGTGATTGGCGTGTGCTGAGTTCCCTCCTTTACCACGTTTTTTATTAGGGCCGAGCATAGCAGCACCCTTTAATCCCAGCACCTGGGAGGCACAGGCAAGAGGATCTCTGTGAGTTCTAGGCCAGCCTGGTCTATATAGCGAGTCCCAGGACAGCCAGGACCATGCAGAACAGTGGTTCTCAACCTTCCTGATTCTGTGACACTTTAATACAGATCCTCATGTTGTGGTTACCCCCAACCATAAAATGATTTTCATTGCTACGTCATACCTGTGATTTTGATACTCTTCTGAACCGTAATGTTGGTATCTGATATCTCTGATGGTCTTAGGTGACCCCTGTGAAAGGGTTGTTTAACCCCCCTCAAAGGGGTTGTGACCACAGGTTGAGAATCACTGAAGTAGAGAGACCCTGTCTCAAAAAACAAAATTAAAAATTTTTATTTACTTTAGTGTGTGTGTGCGTGTGCACGTGTGTGTGTACATGCCACATTCTGCTCTCTATGAGGAGATCATAGAACAACTATAGGCGCTGTTTTTCTCCTTCTACCCTGTGGATCCTGGGTTCACACTCAGGTTGTCAGGCTTGGTGGCAATCACCTTACCTGGTGAGCCATTTTGCCAGCCCTCCCTCCGTTAATGTGTTTTCTCGTCCATCATTGTACAGTTCCTGAGTGGGACAATTGAATTCTGGTGAGTCTCAGGAGATGTCTGGTCCAGGTGTCAGAGATGGGATTTCAACCCAGTCAAGCCTTCCCCTCTTCTCCGCTTTCCCCTTCCTTCTGTCTTTTCCTCCTCTCCCTTTTCCTTCTAAGACTTCATATGTGCTAAGCAAACATTCTACCCGTACGCTATGTCTCCAGCCCTCTTTTTATGTTTTATCTTATTTTATTTTGGAGACAGGGTTTCTCTCTGTAGCCCTGGCTATCCTAGAACTTAACTCTGCAGACCAGGCTGGCCTCGAACTCAAAGATCTGCACGCTTTTGCCTCCTGAGTGCTGCGATTAAAGGTGTAGACCACCACTGCGTGGTCTCTTTTTACTTTTGGAGACAGGATCTGACTCAGTAACCAGTTGGTCTGGAATTCAGCCTGGCCTGAAACCTGAGATCCTCCAACCTCAGCCTCCACAGTGGCTGAGATTACAGGCCTGTGCCATCAGGCCGGAGAGACAGCCTGATTTCCAAGTCTGACCTGGACGGTGGTCACAATCTGAGTGCATGTCTTCTTGCTGAGACAGCAAGCGGATATGCCAATGAGGCTCATTTTACAACTAGAGCAGTGTTGCTATCAGCCTGGTGTGGGGTCGGAATGCCAGCAGCTTATATACTGATTATACAATTGCACATCCTGAAAACATTGTCCGTTTGCCTTAGGTGAGGTGTGGATTTGGGCAGTAGCACATGGGTGGTCCTCTGGTTCAGGGGCACTGAGTCCTGAGAGGTAGGCTGAAGCCCTGGCTGCTGTGTAGAGTTTGTCTCCCATGCTCATTTCCTCAGTATTACATGAGAAGTAGGAGGGGAGACTCAGAGCTCCCCTCTCAACACCTGTGTTGTTTGTTTGTGTTTGTTCCAGGTCACTCTCATCCACTCCAAAGTACAGTTGGCCGACCAGGAGCTCCTGCCCAGTGTGCGGCAGGAAGTAAAAGAGATCCTCCTCCGGAAGGGCGTGCAGCTGCTGTTGAGTACGTGTGACAAGCCCCTCCTGTCCAGCCCCCACCTGCTGATACACTGCCCGTGGCCCAGTTGTGGCCGCTGGTTGGGGCTGTAGCTGTGGTTCATCCGCTCAGGCTCCCCTCCTTCCCATTGTATCCAGAGAACATCAGGAAGTCTCAGACGTGGGAGCCTGCCTGAGCTGTATGCAGCGGGAAGTCAAAGTCACAGGGCTAGAGGGATCCGGCTGTAGTTAGGCACAATGACAGATAGGGGGTGCTATTCACTGGCTGATTTAAGTGCCTCTAAAGGATCTGCCCCATGTTTTCATTTTTCCTGTCTCTGTGGAAGATGGAACTGGCATGCAATTTGAGGCATCGAGGGTCTCTGTGTGGCCCTGGCTGTCCTGGAACTCACTCCGCCTCTGCCTCCTGGATCTCACTCCGCCTCTGCCTCCTAACATTCCACCTGCTTCTGTAGCCTGAGTGCTGGGACTAAAGGCATCCATCCCCACTTCCCTGATTTTGGGTGTGGCATTTTTTTTTTTTTTTTTTTTTTGTCTAGAGCAGGAAGAGAGAGAAGCTCCTGGTATTTGGAGTGGGATGGCACCTGCGTGTCCCCTCTGTGTTCTGTGCAGAAGGGTATGAGGCAGTTGCTGTGGAAGCCCCACTCAGCTGTCACAGCCTCCTTTGGTGACTGGTCCCCGAGGACTGGAAGCACTTTCCTTCCAAACAGATCCCCTCACTTTCTCTGCCTTTTGCCACGTACCCATCCATCCATCCATCCATCCATCACCCATCCACCCATCCATCTTCCCACCCATCTACCCACCCATCCATCCATCCACCCATCCATCCATCCATCCACCCACCCACCTGTCTACCCACCTATCCATCCATTCATCACCAATTCACCCATTCATCTATCCATCCATCCATCCATATACACATACATACATCTATCCACTCATCCATCCATCCCTTAAAATAATTTTGCCTGTGTACATGTCTATGTACCATGTATGTGCCCAGTGCCTTTGGAGGCCAGAAGAGGATATTATTAGATCCCCTTGAACTGTAGTTACAGATGGTTTTTAGCCTCTATTTAGATGCTAGGAATCAAATCTGGGTCTCCTGGAGGAAAAAGTCCTCTCTCCAGCCCCTTCTTTTTTATTTTTATTTTTTCTTAACTTATGAGAGAGAGAATCTCATGTAGACCAGGTCGGCCTTAAACTGTGTCAGCAAGGAGGACTGAATTTGTAATCCTCCCGCCTCCTTTTCCAGAGCCCTGGCATACACACTATACATAGTTTTTCGGGGCTGGGTGTAGAACACAGGACTTTCTGCACATCTTGCAAGTACCCTACCAACTGGACGCTTTCTCTGCTTTCTGGTCTGTGCTATACTAGGGGCCTTCCGCTTAGACGGGACAAACAAGCTGCCCTTCAGAACAGGAAGGGACCCTCTGTTGAGTAGCGTTTCCTAGAACTTGGGAAGCTTGATTTCACTTCCCTTCAGCAGCTTCCAGGAACTTTCCTCCAGATGGATCCTGTGGGGTCGGCTGTCCACATTCTGCTGTGTGGGGGTGGGGCGGGAGTGTGGACCGAAGGGGAGAGTCACGAGGGGAGTGATCACTTTCCCCGTGGTCTGCCTTGGTGTGTGCCAGCTCCCTGTCTCGCACCCCTCCACAGGCGAGCGGGTGAGCAACCTGGAGGAACTGCCTCTCAGTGAGTTCCGGGACTACATCAAGGTGCAGACGGACAAGGGCACCGAGGTGGCCACCAACCTGGTGATCCTGTGCAACGGGATCAAGATCAACAGCTCTGCTTACCACAGTGCCTTTGGTGAGTGCGTGGCCCAGGCGTAGCTGCCCCAGAGCCGCCTCCTTTCTCTCTAGCATCCGGAGACATATCACAGCCCTTCCCACCTGAACCAGCACCCTATCTCATCCTATCCCATAGATCTTGAACTTTAAGTTTAGGCGAGAGGCCCTGCCTGCTCAGCTTGGAGGCCAGAATCTTCTGAGGTTAAGGGCTTCCACCTAGTGGACCGAGATGGAAGCAGGCTTCAGAGTGGGGAGAATGGCTTCCCTTCCTGATGCTTCCCATAAGGAAGCTGAGGAAGTCTCAGGTCAGGCTCTCCCCCTCCATAGATAGATATGATGCTCTCTCCAACCCCAGACCTAAGCACCTGGTACTTCAGTTCCAGACCTCCTTTCGGGGAGGGTGGGACCGTAACATGGCCCCATCTCTTAAAGCTCACTATCCAGATGCCAGAGGGACAGACGGTGGACCCATGTGGGTTTAAGCATCCACAGAGAGTGAGACTCAGTGGCCAAGCCCCATGGTCGCGCTGCATCCCCAGGCACCTGTCACCAATGGCTGAGCACCCTTTTCCTGACCAGTCTCTGCCGGATCCAGCAGGAAGTTAGTTTTCAGTCTAGAAGGAAGGTGGCCCACAGGGGTAATGGAGAGAGCACCCAGTTTACTATCTCAGTATTCCAAGGTATTTTAGAAGATACGTTGTTTTGAGTCCCTTAAAGGAAGCTTATTGTTTAGGAAAGGGCTAAATCTATTTTAAACATATTTCGACGTATGTTCCAAGGGCAGTCCAACACCTGAGAGCCAGGGGACTTGCAAAGAGCTCTCTTTTGTGTGAGAAGGCTTTCCGGTGCTCTGCCTCAGGCTTGACCTGGCAGGAAGGGGCTTGGACGGGAACTTCAGGCAGGATGAGCAGCCGGTGGGCATGTCACTTCCTAGCACACAGCTCTGAAGTGACTGGACCCACACCCGGGACTCGTCCCACTGTTCTGGAGGCGACTTAACATGGCTGCTCAGGGGTGTCTTCTTGCCCAGCAGAGAATAGACTGGCCAGCAACGGTGCTCTCAAGGTGAACGAGTTCCTCCAGGTGGAAGGGTACAGCAACATCTATGCCATCGGCGACTGTGCTGATATCAAGGAGCCCAAGATGGCCTATCACGCTGGTCTGCATGCCAACATTGCCGTGGCCAACATCGTCAACTCCATGAAGCAGAGGCCCCTCAAAGCCTACAAGCCAGGTACGGAAAGCTTGGGCATTTGGCAGTTGTTAAGTTTGGGGTCAGATATGTGGAAGGCTTTGGGGGCTGTAAGATGAATGACTGCTAGACTGCAGGCCCTGTCAAAAAGTCTCTTTAAAAAGCAAATGTGTTATTGGGCTGTAGCTCAGTGGTAGAATTCTTGCCTGGCATGAACTGAGGCCCTGGGTTTCATCTTCAGCATTGTTAACAGAGGTGAAGAGATGGCTCAGATGCGCTATCAAGGACCCTCATTTTTTTTTGTTTGTTTGATTGTTTTCAAGACAGGGTTTCTCTGTGTAGCTTTGGAGCCTGTCCTGGCACTTGCTTTGTAGACCAGGCTGGCCTCAAACTCACAGAGATCTGCCTGCTTCTGCCTTCTGAGTGCTGGGATCATAGGTGTGTGCCACTACCACCCGGTTCTAGAACACATGTTTTAAAAACAAAAAGCCAAAAAAAAAACAAACAAACAAACAAAGAAACAAACTAAAAAGAAACCCTGGGCATCATGGTCAGTAAAAGATCCAGTCTTAAAAAATAAAAATAAAGCCGGGCGATGGTGGCACACGCCTTTAATCCCAGCACTCGGGAGGCAGAGGCAGGCGGATCTCTGTGAGTTCGAGACCAGCCTGGTCTACAGAGCTAGTTCCAGGACAGGCTCCAAAGCCACAGAGAAACCCTGTCTCGAAAAACCAAAAAAAATATATATATATATATATATATATATATATATATATATATGTGTGTGTGTGTGTGTGTGTGTGTATGTATAAATAAATAAATAAATAAATAAAAATAAAAAAAGTGACTGTTACCTGAGGAATGACAGCCCGGGTTGTCATCCTCTGGTCTCAACATGTTTCCACACACATAGGCGCACATAGGTGCACCCACATACCCAGACATCTGACTTGCTTTCTTAAACACGCACTGTTGCTCGTGGACTCTGAAAGCTTCATTCGTGGCTGCATCTCTCAGGTGTTCCCTTGCTTTGTGTGTTTGCCCCCCAGGTGCACTGACATTCCTCCTGTCCTTGGGCAGAAATGACGGCGTGGGCCAGATCAGTGGCTACTATGTAGGCCGCCTCATGGTGCGACTGGCCAAGAGCAGGGACCTCTTCATCTCCACGAGCTGGAAAACCATGCGTCAGTCACCACCATGACAGGGAGGCTGCGTGGGAGTTGAGGTACCACTCGGAGGGGTGACAGACTGACCGACCAAGGACATCCTCCTGACAGGTGCCAAGAGCAAAAGCTCTTTGGATCACGGTGTCAGTTGTGTGCTGGCTGGAAATACAACTTGTATAAAGCCCGAAATGAGAGACGGAGAGTAAAGGGGGAGACATTAAAAAAAAAAAAAAAGCCCTAGAAGATTCTTTCTGAATTTGGAAGGTCTGCTTGCAGCTGGACTAGCTAAAAGGTCTTGGGGAGGCAGAGGCGGCTTTCTGTGCTATAGGCTTCTGTCTGTGTGTCCATGTGTGCACACGGATGCATAGGGCTTTGGGCTTAGTGTGCAGAGCTCCTGTAGGGCAGACCTGGGCTCCTCTAGCTAGTGTCCTGTCTGTAGTATAGTAAGCAGAGCCCACGGCGTGAGACCAACTAAAGAAAGAGTGTTGGCATGGGGAGATGGCCTGTACCTTGAGTCCCTCCTCACTTGGGGTGGAGAAGCTCATAGGTCCCACAGGAAGTAGGTTAAGTAGGGGCCTCATTAATAGGGGCCTCATTTTATTCTCCCAAACTTAGTATCTGCACTCTGCTCTCTCTTTCTTCTCCCCCTTCTCTCCCTTTCTTCCTCCCCCCCCCTCCCCCCGCAACACTCTCTCCCCCTCTCTCTCCCTCTCCCTCTCTCTTCAGTGTCTACCTTATTCAGATTGGCCTTGAACTCCTGAGCTCAGGTGATGCTCCTGAAACCCTCTTTAATCTTCATGAACTTTATCTCCTTATTTATCTGAATGTAAGCCACAGGTACATTTACAGAGAGACAAAGTTCCCCTCTAGCTAGTCCATCTGTTGCTGAAATCTCTTCCTGGGGTGGGGGTGGAGGCATATAAGCAACATCTATCCACTTCTCCTAAGGAAGGTCCCAATGACAAACCGAGGCATGATTCTGTCACACTTTACTCTGGGGAACCAGTGAGTTTATTGGGGTTCCTTATATAGTATCTGAAGGGTGTGAGTGCTTCTCCCCACAACAAGCCAAGCCTGGAAAACTTTAACCAGCAGGGATGAGGGCTCCATAGCTATGGGGCAGCATAAGTGGACCACCTTTCTCCTAGCCTTTCCTGGCCTATATGCTCAATCCACTCCTTGGGTCCACGTGCAATTAAGGCAGCATTGCATACAACAGGTGGTAGGGGATTCACAGGCAAGGGTCTCCTGCCTCCCACCGTTCCACGAGGGGATAAAAACCATCAATAAGGCCAGCTGGGACAGTCCTTTTAAAGGGGGAGCAGCTGAATCCCCCCCCCCCCCCCCCGTTGATGGTGGTTGCTTGGCTCTGAGAACAGCCACTCCAACACCATGCTAGCAAGGTGAGGTTTATAAGGCTGGAGGTGCTAAGACAGAAGCCTGGCTTGCCACTGCTGTAGGAATCCCAGGACGGTGATCCATGACTCATGACTCAGGGAGAGTACTGGATGCTTGATCTTCAGAGACCGGAGGGACAACTGTGGACGATTCCTAGTGATTTCCAGGTTACCCTCACAGGCTGCTGCTGGTGGGGCTGGGAGATAGGGAGCGGGGGTGGGGAGCTATGCTGCTGATTTCCCCGCCAGCTCTTGTCACTCGGGTCCTCACTGGCCATCATGTCTACTACAGAAGGCTAAGGTACACGAATGACTTCTCTATCCAAGTGAGCTCGCCCAGCAGGGAAGAGCTGCTGGTGCATGGCCTAAATTGAGTGCCTATACCAGAAGAGACCGGGAAGCCACTCCAGTAGATTTAGGCTTGGCTCTCTCCGCTCTGACTCTTCCTGTTTGCTTTTGGCCTTGGCCTCTGCTTACGGGTGGCAGAGTCCTTGCCCAGCCTCCCTGGCACTACCAGTCCATTTGGGCTGTTGCTAAGGTCTGTTCTGTTCAGTTGCACAGGGTGGGGCTGAGACTTAAGTCTCTCCCCAGGGAATCATGACCCACGGGCAGTTTTGTCCCCAGCTCTGCTGTTGGGGATGCTAGCCAGCAGGCTCACCCTCTCTGAAGGCAGGACCGAACACCCACAGAAAGCCCGTCATGATGCAGGCTGACCATGAGCCTTAGAGAGCATAGTGGGACGCTAGGGTGACAGGCCCTGTGCAGTTTCTTTACAACACTCTTGAAGAATCTTCCCGGGAAGACAGTCAAGAAGAGGAAATATGGCAATAAATGGATATGTTATAAGAAAGACACTGGATCTTTTATTTTTTTTCCTTTCATTTTTCTTTTTTCTTTAAAAAACAAAACCGAACAAACAAAAATCCCAAGGCAAAACCCTTTTAGGTGTAGTTACAAATATTTTATGGGTCGGGGAGGGGACCCTATTACAGAAGAGAAAAGCACCCTAGGACGTCTTTCCCGTCTTCTCTCCACTGAGGGAGACAGCCAATACACCCAAGTGGCTGTCATGCCCTCCTGACTTGGAAAAAGGAGGAACCAAACACTTAAGAACTTTGAAAAGACTTGTGTGTGTGTGTGTGTGTGTGTGTGTGTGTGAGAGAGAGAGAGAGAGAGAGAGAGAGAGAGAGAGAGAGAGAAAGTCAATGCTATAAATCTAAACAAGGTCTATTTTTGTTTGTTTTTTTAAAAAAAGTTCTAAAACAACAGGAAGAAAACACATGGAAAAAAAACCCTTGGTGGAGACCTGGTTAATTTCGGAAGAGGCCTTTTGTAAAGAGTATATAAAATGCGCTGGGCCCCTTCCCCAGGCAGTCAGGCCCTGTTCCGCTGCCTCTGCTCCCCTCTCAGCCGCCCTCCGCTCCCCTGCCACGTCACCCGTCCTCAATCCTTTTAAAAAATAAAACCCCCGCTCTGGAGACGTGACCCTGACTCTCCCCACCGGAGAGCTACTTGGTGTCCAGTTTGGCCATCTCCTGTACGTAGATGCCGATGCTCTCGCTGTCAAACAGCAGAAAGTACACATTCTTCAGTGAGGATGCACTCGAGTCGTCAAAGTGGGCTGAGATGGCCTTGAGGGTCACCTGGGCGGCCGTCTGTTTGGGAAAGCAGTTTCTATGACCAAACGAAAGAAGAGCCCGTGTCATTTCGGTTCTTGTACCCACTGCTGTAATTCTTTCTTAGCTTGGGGAGAGGGATGTTGGTTTCTTTTTGTTCTTGTTTTGACAGGGTCTCACTAGGTATCCCTGGCTAGCCTGGAACTCACTGTGCAGACCAGGCTGCCCATGAACTCGGAGATCTGCCTGTTTCTGCCTTCCAGAGTGCACGAATTAAAAGGATGTACCACCACACCCTAATAACAGTTTCTTCTCATTCCGGCCCTGGACCCTTGTTTGTATGGTGTGGAACTCACCAAGCACAGGGCCAGTTCACAAGTCACTGGCACAAGTCCAGGGGAGGACACGGGTTGGTGGAGATGTCCCTGCTACATACTAACCACGTATGAAAGAATGCTACATACTTTCAGTCAAGGTCACAGAGCTGGTACGTAAAGGATGTCCCAAATTTGAATCTGTGTCAGCCGGCTCAAGGATAAACTCTATTGATTTCACATTTATAAGACCATGTCTTCAAAAAGCAAACTTTTTTTCCTCCTTCAAACCAGATTATCCGACAAGGGTCTTTCATAATTGCTGGGGCTCAGTTGGTCAATGTTTGTGCCTAACATGCTGGGTTAGGTCCCCCAGTACTACATAAAGCAGACAGGTGTCTGAAACAAACATGGGGCATGATGCAGGGATGGCTTAGTGGGGAAAGGGCTTGCCACACAAGCATGTGACCTGAGTTTCTCAGAGCAAATACACCGAGGCTGGGCATGGTGATAATGTCTGTAACCCCAAAGACAGGTAGATCCCTGAGACTGGCTGGCCAGTCAGCCTAACCTGATGTGAGAGGCAGAGGCAGGCAGATCTCTGTGAGTTCAAGGCCAGCCTGATCTACACAGTGAGTTCCAGGGCAGTCAAGGTTACATAATGAGACTCCCCCCACCCCCTTTTTTCTTTTTGGTTTTGGTTTTTCAAGACAGGGTTTCTCTGTGTGGTCCTGGCTGTCCTAGAACTTACTCTGTATAGACTAGGCTGACTTCAAACTCAGAGATCTGGAATTAAAGGCATGGGCCACTGACCTCCAGGCCAGACCCTATCTCAAACAAAGAAGCAAAAAAAAAAAAAAATTCCTCAAACCAAAACAACAGCAACAAAACTCAAGGTGGTGGGGTGTGGTAATACAGTCAGCACTCAGGAGACAGGTAGGCAGATCTCTCTGAGTTTAAGACTAGCCTAATTTACATTGTGAGTTCCAGCCTAGCCAAGAGACAATAGTAAGGCCCTTTCTCAAAACAAAAACAAGATGGGTATCTTAGTCATCTGAGAGGAGAAACCTCAGTTGATGAATTTCCCAGATCAGATTGGCCTGTGGCCATGTCTGGAAGGGACTGTCTTGATTGATGATTGATATGGAAGGGCCCAGCCCACTGTGGGCAACACCGTTCCTTTGGCAGATGATCTTGGGTTGTATGAAGAGCTATCTAAGTAGAAGCCAGGGAGTGAGCCAGCAAGCAGCATTTGCTCAAGGTTTCTTTATCAAACTCTTGCCTTTAGTTCCTGCCTGACTTCGACATGGACTGTGACCGGGAAGTGTAAGGCAAATAAACGCTTTGTGTCCCTAAGTTACTTCAGGATAGAATGTGTTATCACAGCAACAAGAGTGTTAGTTACCTGAGGAATGACACTGGTTTCCACACGCACGTACACATATGACACACATGTGTACCCACACGCATACATAAAACTAAAATGCTACCTGCCTTCACCCATGGTGTCTTTCAGTTCTGGGCATTGATATCCACAAGGCAGGAGTGCTGGCCCTAGGCTATGGAGATTTGCCATCCCACGCCAGGGACTTGTCTCTGTTTGAAAGGTAGAAAATTGGGCTTCTTTCTCTGTTGTCTACCGAACCTGCTGGCTGTGTCTTCTAGAATGGGCTGACGGAATGTGGCCATGTTGGCGAGTAGCCGGTTTGTTGGAACAGAAAGGCTGGGGACGTCAACTAAGAAACCGTGTCCTACCTGCCACTGGGGAAAGGCGGGAAGGCGACGGACTTGAGCTTCTTGTCCTCGGCGGCAGACAGGCAGTTTTTGATGGTCTCTTCCAGCTGCTCTTCACATTTGTCGGAGCCCCACTGGGGGATGTGACAGTGGATGACAAATTTGGCTGCGAG